GTAGTCAGTCCTATGACTATGCTGTACACAGTGATAAGCGCTTACATTAACAAGCTAGAAACATCTCAAATAAATAACATAACAATGTACCTCTAGGCTCTAGACAAGCAAGTGGACAACCCCAACACAAAGATGGCAGAAAATAGTAGACCCTGGAAGAAAGTACTGATATAGGGATTAAAAGAGCGATACCCAAGGTCAATCAAAGACTTGGTTCTTTGAAAATGTTAGTGAGATTGATAAACCCCTAGTTAAACGGACAAAAACAAAGAAGGAGTAACAAATCAATCAAATTCAATAGGACAAAGACACTAAAACAGACTCCAGTCAAATCCAGAACATCATTAAAGAATACTTTGAGAACATATACTCTAAAAAGCTAGAAAAATCTAAGCAAAATGGATGAATTTCTAAATGTTTATTATCTGCAAAAGTTAAAGACAGAAGACATAAGCAATTTAAATAGACCCATTTCAAGGAATGAGATTGAAGCTGTAATCAAAAGTCTCATATAAAGAAAAGCCCAGGATAACACGGAGTCACTGCTGAGTTCTATCAAATTTTCAAGGAAGATTTAATTCCAACAGTCCTCAATTTGTTCCACAGAATAGAAAGGGAAAGAGCACCACCAAATTCACCCAAGAAAGTCATTATTATGCTGGTATCAAAGAAATGAGAGAGAGAGAGAGAGAGAGAGAGAGAGAGAGAGAGAGAGAGAGAGAAAGAACTGCAGAGCAATTTTCCTGAGGAACTTAAGTACAAAACTTCAAATTTCTGAAATTCCAGTTTCTTAAATTCAAGAACACATTAAGAAGATCCTACATCATGACAAAGGTTGTTTCATCCAAGGGATGCAAAAGGTGGTTCAACATACATAAATCAGTAAGTGTATAGCATATAAGTAAACTTAAGTACAGTGATTATGTCATCATCTCAGAAGATGCAGAACAGATACCTGACTAACTTCAGCATGCCTTCATGGTAAAAAGTACTGGAGACATCAAGAATACACATATGGTATATATACAAACCCAAAACCAACATTATGGTAAACAGATAACAATTGAGAGTATTTTTTCTAAAATCAGGAATGAGACAGTGATATACACTTCACTGTTCTGATTCAATGTGGTGCTGGAAGATTTAGCAAGCAGATAGGAGAAAGACATGAAAGGAATAAAATCAGGAAATGAAGAGGCCAAATTATTCCTGTTTGCAGATGGCATGAAGATATACTTGAAAGTCCTGATAGAGTCTATCATAAAATTCTTAGATTTAATAAACAATTTTAGTAAAGTTGTAGGGTGCAAAATAAATAATGAAAATCAGTAGCCTTAACAAATATCCACAATTAATTTACAGAGAAAGAAATTAGGGGAAAAAATGTTACTGTCATTCAATATGGTTAAGAATAGAATTAACCAGGGGAATGAAAAACATCAACAATGAAAACTTTAAAACATTGATGAAGGACAGCAAAGAAAATACTAGGTGATGGAAGGACCATACTCTTGGTGTGATGAAATTAGTTCCATAAAATGTCAATATTATAAAAAAGAAATTTCCAGATTCAATGCAACTCACATGAAAATCTGATGTTATTATTCAAAGAACTAGGGGGAAAATGATCTGAGAGTCCACATGGAATAACAGAAGACTACAAACAGCCAAAGAAATTCTAAGGAGGAAAGCATAGTTGGAGGTATTGTGGTTATGACTTCAAATCTTACTATAGAGATATAGTGAAAAATATAGCAAACAACTCAGACAGGGAAACCAATGGGTCATCTTCCTGTAGACTCTTCAGATCCATTTCCTTCACCCTGTACAAAAATTGGCTAGGAGGAGTGGCTCAAAGACCTTAATTTAACAGATAAAACATTGGAACTGCTAGAGGAAAATGTAGGGAATACAGTTCAAGATAAATGTTTAGGTAAGAAGTTTCTGAACAGATCTCTAATAGTGCAAGAACCAGCTCCAGGAATCAACAGATGGAACTACATAAAATTAAAGTTTCTGCACAGCAAAAGGAAACTATCAGCCAAGGAATCAGACAGCCTACAGAACGGGAGAAGATCTTTAACAGCTATACTTCAAATAGGGAGCTAATATCAGAATTTACAGAGTGAAAAATAAAAAATAAAAAAACCTGTCAATCAATAAGTAGGCTATTAAATGAACAGTTCTCAAAAGAAGAAACACAAATGGCCAACAAGTATTTTTTTTAAAGTGTTATGATACCCTTAGTCATCAGGGAATTGCAAATTAAAGCCACTCTGAGACAGCATCTCATCCTGGTCAGAGTGGCTATCATCAAGCAATCTCATAACAGATACTCATGAGGACGAAGAGAAAGAAGAACCTTATTCACTGCTGGTGGGAGTTCAAACAAGTAATGCCATTATGTAATGAGCATGGAAGTTTTTCAAAATATTTGAATAAAGAACTACTGCATGACCCAACTATATTATAGCTCTTAGATATATATCCAAATGATTCCATATCCTACCTAACACAGACACTTGTACATCCATGTTACTATTGAACTACTCACAACAGCAAGGAAATGGAACCAGCCTAAATGAATAATGAGTAGATAATGAAAACATGGTATGTATACACAATAAGATTTTATTCAGCTGTAAAATATAAAACAATGAAGCTTGCAGGAAGATCGATGGTTCAGGAGAGACAAAAGACATATGTTCTTTTTCAAATTCAGATCATAGCCTGGTTTGTGTGTGTAATGGGGTATATGGGTATGAGTAAACCCTAAAATGCAAAAAGAGAGAGAGAGAGAGACAGAGAGAGAGACCAAGAAATGATGAAAATAGGTGACCAGAAAAGATGGAGAGTAGGCAAAAGGACACAGGAGACATGAAAAAAGCAAAAAGACTGGGGGAGGAGTTACCAGGAAAGGATCAGGGATAACAGGGTAGGGATATGAGGGGACAAGAGAATCTACTAAAACGCACTTTGAAAATGCCATGGTGATATTTAATATCTTGTATGCTAATTTAAAAACTAAAAAACCCCACAACTTTTAAAAAGGGAAAATGTTGTAAAAACAGTGGCACTAGATCACAGCAAACATGCAGAGAAATTAGGCTACTCATATTGCTGACAATAGTGTAAAGAACACCAACTCTGTGAACCTGTTGGTTGTTTCCTTAAAAACTAGGCATACACTTAATGGGTAATCCCAAACTGAAAACAGTAACAATGTCTTTGCAGAGGGGCTTTGAGAATTCCACAGAATACATCATAGTGAAAAACCCACTGGGTTAATATGTGTCATGGGCATGTGTTACATTGTCAAAGGAGCAAACAAGTAAACACAGTGAAACACAAGAAACCCACTGTCTCAAGGGCATCATGCTTAGTGTGCACACCTTAGAATATCATCTGTTAACAATTTCATTGATGAATTTTTTATTGAATTGACCAAGTCACAGATATGGATGTCTGCACAGTGTGCACAGTCTGAACATTAGCACCTGCCAGTCAGGAATAAGTGAAAGTATGGTGAGTGCCTGGAGGGTTAGCAGTGGGATGCTGTGCTGATAGGCTGCAAACGGCAGTCACAATGGTAGTTCCCAAGTGTGATGAAATAACAGAAAACCTCCTGCACACAGGACAACTGTGGACTTCCTGGTTCTGATAGCATGGCACAGCTATATAAGATGCAACCAATGGGAGAGAGGCCGAATTAGGGGTATACAGAACGTGTGTGTGTCTGTTTCTTCCCATGTAGAGTGTGTGTGTGTGTGTGTGTGTGTGTGTGTGTGTGTGTGTGTGTGTGTGTGTGTGTGTGTATCTTTCAAAAATGGGTACAAAGTCAGAAACTTCTAATTTCCAGTAGAAATTCTACATTCCCTACAACAAAATTTTCTCATCTTAATGGCACAAAACAATGGCTGTCTTTTAGTTTGGTAGGGCTATTTTCAAAACAAGGGTAAGACAGTTACACACAAAATAACTCTATCTCCATCTCAAATACTGGGACTCCCTTCCCAGTCACCTCCATTCCATTTCTGGTTTTTTCACTCTCAAGCTCATGGGTTTTATCAGTTTTCTTTTCAGTGACCCACATTGCCTTGAAAAATCACTGTTCTATGTCTATCTGGCCCTTTTATTCCCATGAACTTATCCACTCTCTCAGAAAATCTCCAACTAGGTATTGGATGACCTCTTCCTGTGCACACTGCTGACGGAACAGACTGTCCTGAAAGGCAGACGTTTGAAAAGAAAGCTCTTTAACCTAAATTAACATCAATCCCAAAGTAACAGTATATGTGAGATTCTGAGCAGAAGATCTTCCAAGTACTTCTTGCCTCCTAAGCCACTCCTTCCTTTCCCTGCAGATTTCCAGGCAGCAAGATGAAAACACACAGAATAAACATCCCAAGAAAACAAGATTCTCATCCTCATTTTAGAGCTATGCAGCTTGGTATCAGTGAAGACACAGGGCACGGGTGAGCAGTGAGTCCTGAACTGGGTGTGTAACTCAGACTGCCTGATCTCTAATCCTATGTCAGAATATTTAATCAATCTAGCCCCCTCCCGCTGGTCTGCTAGCAGACATTTTGTAATTTTAAAAGCGGGAACAGATGGAAAGTAGCTGACCTAATTCAGCCATCCTGATCCCACCCAGAGCTGGTTCTGAAAGTGTCATCAACCCTGAGATCAGTTATACATCTGGTGGTTTAACAGAGCTCAAGATACACTCTTTAAAACTGTTAGGATTCTTGTATGTATTAAAATAAATAAGTATTTTTTAAAAGCCAGCACAGCAAAAAAATATACATATATAAAAAGGAGAGTGTTTACTTCAAGTAACAGCACTGCTGTCCACAACTCACCAACTCATTCATGAAAAGAGCCTCTTTCCATGGGCTCTACCACCAAGACTGAATTCAATTCCATTAGGTTGGGTCCCCATTTCCCCAGTGTGCTGGCAAGTGGAGCAAGGCTGGCCACTCTGGAAACAGCATGATTACCTAATTTGCAACCTCCTTTCTCCTTCTCGTCCCCTGCAGGGGTAGGGGTAGTGTGGTAAGAACAGTCTGATCCTTGGTCTGGGATGGAGTCTATAAGACCACAAAAAGATGAAATAACCAGGAGGAACTATACAAATTAATCAAATAATAAAAAATACCTTTTTTGCAAAAGTTTATTTTGGTTTGGTGACATGGGGCCATGTCATGGAGCTCTGGATTGTCTGGAACTCAGTATATAGTCCAGGCTTGCCTCAAATTTGCAGCCATCCTCATGCCTTAGCCTCTGTAGTGCTGAGATTAGTCTTGGGCTACCACAATCAAGGTGAAGTACATTTGATGACAACAAACCAAACTGCCTATTACCTCAATAGAAGAATGCTAAGACCAAGGGGGGAGCCACACAACATACAAGAGAAGAAAAAGCAAGTGGATTTCTCTGGGAAGAACAGAGAAGTAAGTAAGACAGAGTATGTCAGCATTTATTAATGGTCAGCTCTTTGGTTCAAAGGAATTTCTATTTTACTTTTCTTCTTTCTTCCATCCACTTTCTGTTGTTTTAAAAGAGAGGTCTCCTGTTACCCAGGCTGGCCTCAAACCTGTTAGATAGCTGAGGCTGGTCTTGCTCCTGGGTGATGGGCTAACAGCTGTGAGCCAAGCCATCTGTTTACTATTGTGCTCTCTTTCTAATAGGGTGAATTTCATCAGGACATAGGAGGCTTCTAGGTAAGTCCCACTTTTTTACTCAGTTTGCTCTCCTGCTCTAACAGTACTGGGATAGGTGATCTATAAGCAGATTAATTTGGTTTCTAGTTCTGGGACTGGGAGGCTCCACGACATGCTGTTGGCAACTTCCCAACCTCTGGTAGGGGTCTTTGTGCTACACACAACACAATGTAAGGACAGGATAAAAAGCGAGTGTGTGTCTGGGAAAGGGAAAAAAAAACAAGACTGTCAGGCTTGCTTTCTCAAGGATGATAAACCCACCCACCTGATAAATGCCTTAATCTCTCATTGTGGCCTCTACAAGGTCCCACCTCAAAGTACTCCCACAGTGGCAATCATTTTTTAACACAGGTTTCAGAACAGGCAAACTGCATCACTTACCCATACGGTATTTCAGCTCTATAACTGTTTTGCCTTCTCTGGATAACTCTGTAACTTCACATGTGTAGTTTCCCAAGACAGCTTGTTGCCTTTCCATTTTCAAAGAGGCATCACCCTTCAGTAAGTCTGAGACTGAGATTTTTGCACTGGTAAAGTTAGTCTCTACAGTAGAATTGTTTTTACTTCCATCGTAGATGAAAATATATGTTTTGTTTAACTTCCATTTCACATACATTTCTTCAGTGCTTTGTGCCTCCACATTGAGGACGATACAAGGGATGACGACAGTTTCATTGCACTTAGTGAATTCTACAGATTTGACGTTACTAAACAGTAGTTGAGCTGAACCTGGAAAACAGATGCAAAAATAATTCATTATAATTTGCATATGTGATATGTTATCTTAGGTGTATTATAAACCGTTAAGGTAAAGTAAAATACTTCAATTGTTCATTTAAACAAGCAATATAGGAACAAAGTGAAAATAGCAATAAATTATTTGTATACCAGCAGACTGTAAGTTCTTTATTCAGCCTTAGTAATACAAGGTATACATTACCATCCATCTTGGGAATAAATTCACCAACTGTGTTGGAAAATGCAAGGTATGATATCTAGCTTTGAAAGCTCTGAAGTCACCATATCTACTTACTGATATATATATATATATATATATATATATATATATATATATGTATATGTATAATATGGAAACATTCTGAACAAAAAAGCCAAGTATATTTGGGCTCAACTTCTATACACTTCTTCTAGATGGAACTTGCTAAAGTGATATGAAATTTATCTCTACACTCAGGCTGCATAACCAAAAAAAAAAAGTGGCCAGCTCTATTATACTTTAATATACAAAGCAACTCGAATGAATCAAATCTTATCTTTCCAAGAGGATGGAAAGTCTTAGAATACTAACGAGAAAAAAAAATGTTCTCGGTGGCTATTTCCCACTGCAAAAGAGAGAGCGATAGACATTTTGTATGCAAGTCTCAGAAAGGATTACACACAATTGAATGGCATTTTTCCTACCCCGACATTTCATTGAATCTACAGGACAATTTTGAAATGTAGATTACAGGTATTTCTTCCTCCAATAAACCATAAACTACTCAAAAAGCCAAGGAAGAAGAAACCAGGAGCAGATGCTGCTAACGAGTAGAGTATACTCATTGGCTCTTCTTAATGGCATAAGGCATGAGTAGCAGACTTACCATGGGTGCCTGAGTGACTAGAGTAAATGCAAGGCTCACCATTCAATTCAAACTGCAAGATGCAGAAATACTCCAGCTGTATTGTATAACTTGGCCATTTATCCAAGCTCTTATCTAAGTAGCTTGTTGACTTTTCTTTCAAAACCCAAAGTGCCAAGGAATATAAAACACTAACTCCATTAATCTTTAATACTTCCTCCTTCCATGTAAACTAGAAATAAAATCAAGGACATAAGATGTTACTGTAAGAGTCTGATTATTAATAAATACCCATCAAGTTGAATACAAGGACATATACCAGAATACAGTCTGGACTATGTTCAAGAAAATTCAAGACCAAGCTCCCTGCCTGGTACACTCTGGAGTGTAGTCTTAGGTAATTCATTTTTCTAGAGCATAGTTTTATAAAGAGGATCAGAGCAAACGGTGGGAGGCCTCCTAGGACACTGGGGAGCACCACAGGAAAAAAACATCTAAGAAGTGCTCCCTAAGCAACACTATGATGCACAAACACAGGGCAATAGCATGACACTGGACACTGTGCCATCTACTGTCATGAGCTGGGCCTTCTGAATGCTCTTGAGAATGTGCCACTTGAAGCAGCCTTTGGGGCATCCAGGCTAACTTTTCCCAGTTCTCTAGATTTTTAGCCACCCACATACTAGGAAGCCCCAGGCAAAACCTGAATGGCCAATTATGTTTTCTACACCCTTGGAATTTTGAATTATTTCCCTGGAAAAAGAGCCACTGAAGGCAAGGACCATATTGAACAGAGAGAAATTGGGGAGGAGGGGGTGATGGATGCCACATCTACAAAGGAAGGGGGGATTAGAAAAGACCTGTGAAGAGTTTGAAATGGACAGAAGGTTCCCAGAGTGTCCTGTCAGTGGGTGCTGGGAACTACCTAGCAGATCTTCTGCAATCATCAGATTCTAGACGGGCTCTGCTACTACTGACTTCAACTTGGGTACCTACAACTGTGTAAGTTGTTGGAATTGAGGGTCATGAACAAGATTTTTCTACAGAGACAGAAATTTGTTTTGCAAGCAATTTATACCTCATGGAAGAGGGTTCCAAACAACATCACTTAAAAAAGAAAACTGAAGATACTGACCAATTTTGCATCCATTAATAAATTCGTTCAGCATTCTTGCTTGCCTATAAATATGTTTGCTCTACCAATTTGCCTTCAAAAGTGATTGCCTACTTTCTGATTTGTTCTTTAAGGATTAAAATTAAATCTTTGATGTCCATTTTATAACAGCATGAATCATTTCAAAGTTTAAAAATTATATTCATATGAGTCATTTCAAAATTATTCTTCTCTGGAAGACACAAGTGGATGGCTCAGTTATCCTATGAGATATTTTTTCCCCAGAAGACCCCAGGTAAGAAGGAAGTGGATGGCAAGCACTCTACAATTTTGTAACTTGTTATACATATTTCAAGGAATACACTGTACTGTATTACTTCTTTCAGTAAAAACATTTCATAACTGAAGCAGTTTATACAGAATACATGCTGTCAATAAAGTGAAAAGTAAATTTGACCTGGCTAACCAAGGCAACCTTTATACTAATAACTAGTAAACAAGAGTAGCTCAAAAGGTCCCTCCAAATATTAAATACAACTTTTTAATATACAAACATTGTATTAAAAACACTAAGTAACATCATCTGATATGGGCTTTTATATTTTGCCCATTGCCTCTTGATGGAAAAGCAAAGAGAGGAAAAACTGGCTAATCCAGAGAGTAAATGACCATAAATAATGAACATAGGAAAATTCATATAGATAACATACACTGTAACAGTCTATTCCACAGAGTAGGGAAACTTAGCCAAGGATGATGCTGGAGTTACAGGCAAATTACCAAAGAAGCTGGGAGGATTAACTTATATCAAATGCCAAAAATACTGGATGCCACAACTTCCATGAATACGGTGCCAACAGAATGCTCCCAAGTTGGTCTTGAGCACAGCTGTGCAGTGGCAGAGGTCTGATCCATATGTTACAGTACATGTGTGTTCACCTCAGAAACTTAGAGATGCAATCAGCAGTTGTTAAGAGTAACCTTGATAAAACTCTGCCTCGATGGAAGGATATGGTAATTAAAAAAAAAAAATAAGTGGGACTTATCTGGAGGCACTTAGAATTCTCCTATGGGGAATGTAAGCAGGTTATACAACACAAGGTCACAAGTGTGGCTCTTTCTGCGTGAACAAAGTGCTGTGGAGGGCAGAAAATCAACCAGTCTAGCAGGTTTCTAAGAAAATTTACATTGCTACCAGAGAACAGGAGATTGTCCTATAGTCATTGCTCACCTGGGCTCCTAATGTTTTTAGACATCCCTTGTAAAATTTCTTCCTTTCTAATGACTCTTAAACAATTCACCTTCTGCTTCTCAGCCTGTAGTGTCCAGCAGTCAACTCTCACTCCTTAATTCAAATTGAGTCCTTCCGGGAAGCCAGAAGTTCAGAACACTTCCCACACAAACTTACCTGCAGCCTCCATTATCCATGGGTTTTTTTTCTTCCCTTTTATTCATAGATTTTCCTCCTCCCTTCCAGAAATTAATTCCTTCACTCCGAGCTTGTTTCAGTGGCTGACTCTAGACCATCATCTAGAGGACTCACAAGCTGCCAGCATCCATACCCCCTGATTCCACTTATGGAGTTTTTTTTTTTTTTTAAGTCATCTTTCAATAATTGTATATGCACCAAATTTTAAAAGCCCCACATACTCATGTCTTTCCCAGCATCCTAAGATAATGATCAGTGTGCACTTCGTGACCTCAGTGCACTGCCAAACTCTGTGTCAAGAGGACTTCACTATGTGCCCTGTTATTCTACCACTGTGACAGCTCTTGCTCAAATCACCAATGACATCATATGAATAAACCAGTTCACACAGTTCATCTTGACTTCTCTATAATACTCGAGCCAGGGAGCATTTCCTCATTTTTTTTTTTTGCCGTATTTTTCCCCTCCACCCCTAATAATGCTTTTGATTAGAAAATTTCCTCCACACTGCCTTACCTTTTAAACACTAGTCTTTGGCTCTTATTAAATATTAGTATTCCTAATGTGGTTTTAATGAGAATGGCTCCATAGGTACCTATGTTTGAAAGCTTGGTCCCTAGTTGGTGGAACTGTTTCAGAAGGATTAGATGTGGCCTAACTGGAGGTATGCCACTGGGAATGGGCTTTGAGGTTTCAAAAACCCACACTACTCTAGCTGATTCTCTCTCTCTTCCTCCTGATGTCAACATGTAAGCTCTCAACTACTGCTCCAGCACCATGCCTGCCCTGCACTGCTGTCATGTCCCCACCGTGATGTGATGGCCATGGCTTCACTCTCTGTAACTGTAAGCAAGCTCCAACTAAACATTTTTTTAAAACTAATAAGAACAGTAACTAAGACATAGGTGTTTCATGGACAGTAACCTCCCGCCAAGTATTCCTTCCCCCCTTACCCCAATAGTTTTAACAATCAGCACATTTTCTAACTCAACCAGACCCCACCTTTCTTCTAAACTGTAGACTTTAATTAATGGTCTGTTATGCACACAGAGAGAGTTGCTACAATTAATTAAAACTTAACAATGTCCCAAGATTATATAACACTGTATTTCCCAATCTTCACTTCCCTAAAATATTTTACAATTATCTACTAGTCAATCAGACTTGGACCCATAATTCAAGTTAGATGCCTAGCTCTTTCTTCAGTCACAGAGAAATCTTGTTAAGTCAACCTAGTCAATAGTTTCTAAATCCGAAGCCTTTTGAATGAATGAAGTACACTGTCACCCCTCTCCCTTGAACCATTGCCAGACCTCCAAACTGCCTCTCTGCCTCTGTCTTCCATACTGTTTCACTCCAATGCCGATGCATTTTCCACAGTCCTCAAAATAACCATTCTAAATGCAAATGTGTACTCCTTTGCCCAGTGACACCCCACCACCCTCGTTCTTGAGCCAAATTCTAAGTGCATTAGCATGGGAAACAAACAAGGTCCTCTGCTATCCTTTCCAGCCTCACATTTGTACTCTCATTTCCAAAGTAATCTCCCATCACAATGACCTTCCGAGAACCCCATGAATAGGCAAATGTGTTCTTACAAACACGGCTTACCACATACTGATTCCTCAGCATGGGGGGACCACAAC